TGATTCAGATTATTAGGGAAGTTAACAGGATACCGTTCAGGGTCAGAAATGCTCAGGGTATAGTTGCTCCAGTCAGGACAGTCTCTCTTCAGCCATGCGCATTGACTGGTCTCTGTCTGCCAGGCCAGTATTTTAAAGCTCTTTTAGGACTGCTGATAAATTCCTACAGGTCATACCACTGCACCATAAGTGTCGGTCTAAAGGCACTTGTCTCTAGCTCTGTGGGTTAGCAAACCTAACTCCGCAATTAAGTGCCTGGAGGCACCCCTTCTTCCCACAATCACTCAGCTTTACTTGTTCCCTGGGCTGGGAATCTCTGTCACATGCTCTGGTTCTTGGTTCTGCTGCTGCTGTTCCTCTTACACTCCTCCAGTCTCATGGCTTTTTGTCCCTTGGTCAAGGAGATTCAATGTACAAAGATCTTAGGATCTAAAGAATGTGCTCTGCTCCTGGATTTTCTTCTTTAATTGTAGTAAGATCCCCTGCTTCTGCTTCATCATATCAGTATCTTTTCTTTCCCATTGTTATCCAGACCAATCAGGAAAATGTTGTTTGGTGGGATTTACATGAGCTATAGTTAGAAGAGAGCAACATGAAGTCATTCACTGCACTGTAATTTCTAATTTAATATTTCTTGTGATCGAAGAACGTACTTTGTGTGGTTCCACCTGTTTTAAATCTGCTAAAGCTTGTTCTATGACCTAGCGTATGGTCGATCCTGGAGAATTCTCCATGAGCTCTACAAAGAATGAGTGTCTGCTGCTGGTGGGTGTTGTGCAGATTTAATTTAGGTAAAGTTGGCTTATTGTATTCTGATTGTCTGTTTCCTTATTGATTTTCTGTCTGGTTGTATTCATTTTTGATAACAGGATACTAAAATCTCCAATTATTTCAGTGTGTGTTTGCTTCATGTATTTTGGGGCTGGGGCACTGCTGTTAGGTGTGTGTATGAATTTCCTATGGATGCTACAGCATATTATCACACACTTGATGACTTAAAACAACAGAAATGCATTTTCTCAAAGTTCTAGAGGCTATAAGTCTGAACTATGGATTGAAATTAAGGTGTCAACAGGACCACACTTCTCCTGGAGAATATACAGGAAAATCTGTTTCTTGTTCCTTTTAATTTCTGGCTGCTGACATTCCTTTGCTTAGGGCCACACTGTTCTCATCTCTGCCTCCATCTTCACCTCTCCACTTCTGTCTGAAATCAAATCTCCTTCTGCATCCTTTTTATAAGGATATGTATGATTGCATTGAAGCCCACCCTGATCATCCAAGATTATCTACCCATCTCAATATCCTTAACTGTCACAGTGCAAAGACCCTGTGTCTATATAAGATAACTTTTATGGGTTCTAGGAGTCCTGGTGTGGCACTGTGGGTTAATGTGCTGTACTGAAAGGTCGTTTTGAACTGCAAGGTCAGAAGTTCATTCATCAGTCATTCCTAGGAAACCCTATGTAGGGTTTCTATGAATCGGAACTGGCTCCATGGCACTTAACAACAACAAGGGATTAGGACCTAGTATGTTTATAGGACTATTTTTCAGCCTATCTGTGGATATAAGTTTATAGTTGTTATATTTTCCTGATGAAATAGCTTGTTTTGTATTATAATTTCTTTGTCTTTGTTTCTAGTCACTCATTTTACTCTGTTTTGCCTGATATATATACATACATACATACATAAGGAGCTCTTATAGCATAGTGGTTACGAATTGGGCTGATAATCTCATGGTCAGCAGTTCGAAACTACCAGTTGTTCCGTGGGAGAAAGGTGAGGCTTTCTGCTCCCGCAAACATTTACAGCTTCAGAAACTCTGTACAGGGTTGCTATCAGTCGGAACCAACTCCATGGCACATAACAAAAACAACAATATACATACATATATATACATACATATAGCCACTATAGCTTTCTTGTAGCTACTGTTTGCATGATATATCTTTTTTCATTCTTTTGCTTTTAGCTTATTTTGTCTTTGAATCTAAAGCTTATTTCTTATAGATACTAAATGTTGGATCATGTTTATTTATCGTTTGGCAGTTTCTTTTATTGATGTGTTTACTACATTCACATTTAATGCTGTTAATAATATAGTTAGATATATTCCTATCATTTTGATTTGATTTCTTCTGCATTGTGTCTTTTTATTCTCACTTATCTTTATCACTTTTTTTATTAAACAGATATTTTCTAATCTAACATTTTAGTTTATTAAAAATTTGTTTTGCCTTTGTTGTTATTTTCTTCATGATTGCTCTAGGGACTATAATATGCATTTTAACTATCACTATGTGGTGCTGTGGCGTAATGCGCCAGACTGCAAAGTTGTTTGAACTGCAAGGTTGGTGGTTCAAACTCACCAGCTGTTCCTTGGAAACTCTATACAGGGTCACTATGGTTCAGACCCAACTCGATGGCACTTCACAACAACAATGTACTGAACCCCGGTGGCAGTGGTTAGCAGTTCAAACCCACCAGCTGCTCCATAGGACAAAGATGAGACTGCCTGTTCCTATAAAGATTTACAGAATAGGAAACCTTGTATAGGATTATTATGAGTCTGAATCAACTCAGTGGCCGTAAGTTGGTTTTCCTGATTTTTAATACTGACTTAATTCATATAAAGCATATTGACTTTCTTCATTTCAACTCTGTATCCTCCCTCTTCTAGGCTATTGTCATTTTGCATCTATAGCTATTATAAATCACTCATGTTGTTGTTGTTGTTAGGTGTCATCCAGTTGGTACCAACCCATAGAGATGAAATTTGGCCATCTTGGCCTCCAAGGAACACTCTGGCTGCACCTCTTCCAACACAGATCTGCTGGTTCTTTTGGCAACCCATGGCACTTTCAATATTCTCCTCCAACACCATAACTCAAAAGCTTCAATTCTTCTATGATCTTCCTCATTCACTGTCCAGTTTTCACATGCATATGAGGTTATTGAAAATACCATGGCTTGGGTCAGGCACACCTTTGTCCTCAAGCTGGCATCTTTGTGCTTCAACACTTTAAAAAGGTCTTGTGCAGCAGATTTGCCTAATGCAAGACATCGTTTGATTTCTTGACTGCTGCTTCCGTGTTGATAGTTGATCTGAGAAGAATGAAGTCCTTGACAACTTCCATCTTTTCTCTGATGATAAGAATGTTGTTTATTGGTCCAGTGGTGAGGATTTTTGTTTTGTTGACATTGAGATGTAATCCATACCAAAGGCTGTGCTCTTTAATCTTCATCAGTAAATGTTTTAAGTCCTCTTCACTTTCAGCAAGCAAGGTTGTATCATCCACATATTGCAGGTTGTTAATGAGTCTTCTTCCAATCCTGATGCCACGTTTTTCTTCATAAAACCCAGCTTCTCAGATTATTTGTTCAGCATACAGTTTGAATAAGTATGGTGAAAGAATACAACCTTGTCGCATACCATTTAAAATTTTAAACCATTCAGTGTTCCCATGTTCTGTTCAAACAACTGCTTCTTGGTCCAGGTACAGATTCCTCAGAAGTACAATTAAGTGTTCTGGAATACTTATACTTCTCAATGTTGTCCATAGCTTGTTATGATCCACACTATCAAAAGCCTTTGCATAGTCAATAATGCACAGGTAAACATCTCTCTGATATTCTCTGCTTTTAGCCAAGGTTACTGATACTAGTGTTTTAAATATTGCTTTACATGATCATGTCTTTTAAAGAAGTTAAGAGAAGAAAGGGGAAATATCGTATTCATTATTGTTTACTACTTTTGCCTTAATAGGAACAGTCTAAAATTAGTAGAATGGTGGTGGTGGTGTTAGTGTACCATGAAGTCTATTCCAACTTATAGCGACCCTAAATAGAGTTTCTGAGGCTGTAAATGTTTACCGGAGCAAAAACCTCATTTTTCTCCTTCAGAATGATTGGTAGTTTTGAACTGCTGACCATGAGGTTAGCAGCCTGACTTGTAACCACTACACCACCAGAGCTCCTTAAAATTAGGAGACTATGCCTCCAATATTCAGTATCATCTCAGGAATGAATGGGATAATTAAAAAGTTACATAGATTTTGTTACTTATTTATCTTTCAAATACCAATGTTGTCCATCAATTTCCTTGGAAAAACATCTATAGAAAATAGATTATATGTTTTTCTTCCTCTTACACAGAAGTTTCTGGACTTAAATAACCATTTTTGGAATGGTCATGGTTTATTATTTAGATATTTTCGATGATTCCCTTAAAATTTTCTAAGTTTATATAGAGCTTTTTTGTTCCTCAACTAAATTGACACACATTCTTGTACTTTCTTTTTAGCGTTCCTGTCAGCATTTTACAGTTCTCCCCTTTGCTACCTGTCAGTTTTCTCTGTCAGTTTTCCATCATCTTTTGGTCTACTCTGTTTATTTTATGCGTTTCTGGCAGGGTAAAGTCTGAGGGATGATTCATTGTATTCCATTGTTTAAGTTCTTAAGCTCTGTATTTGGTTTCTGTTGCTTTGAGTTTGACTGTGTTCTAGTTTTCTCCATATCCGAAATTTGAAGTCTGGATGAATGATACATATTCTACATTTTGTTTATTGGCATGTTATGGTGCAATATTTAAGCAAAATGAAATGATGCTATTTCTAAGCTATGCTACATTCATGGTGGAAGAATACCCAAATTTGGGGGTTATTCTAGAATATCTTTGTATGCTTTCTTGCCAACATTCTTACTTAATGTTTTACTAAAATATGAATCTAGCATAACATTTTTTAAATCAGTGATAGAATTATAGGACAGTTCTTCTCATTGATGTCCCATCTGTATAATACTGAGAAGGTTTGTCTAATAGTGACAATTCCCCTTATGGATGTTAGCTTAAGTGATGGAATGAACTGGAAAGTTACATGGGAGAGTGCCAATGTAACTTCATCTTCCCAACACTGGAACCTGTGATAGTGCTTCTACGTTCTAACTTCACTTACACTCCATGCTATTCTTGCTCACCATAATGCTGCATACTGTTCCTACTCATCCAGCACAATGGAAGCCTTCTCTACTCCTTTGTTAATCAAAGTACATGTTCTAAAGCTCATAGCCTTGCCACTCGTAGTATCACTCCCTAAAAACAAAAAAAGAAAGAAAAACTAATCTCAAAACTATCTTCATTGAAACTTTTTAAAAGTTACATCTTACCCATTGTCATTCTCAAAACCCATGCCCTGTTTTTTGGGGGTGGTTTTGTACACATGTAAGTCACTTTTCTTTTTTTTTTTTTTTTCATATATAATCCTGATTTCTGTATAATCTGTAGTCTTTATAGCAGTGTCTCTCAAAAGATAGTTGCATAGAAAACACAGTCTGCATCAGCAGTACCTAGAAATGTACTTAATAAATTGTTGATGTTAAGTGCTGTTGAGCTGGTTCTGACTCTTAGTATAGGGCTTCCAAGAAGCAGCTGGTGGGTTTGAACTGACAACCTAATGCTTCACAGTCCAGTGCTGATCCTACAGTGCCATACCAGGAGTTGTTCTTGTTGTTAAGTGCCATTGAGTCAGTTCTGACCCACAGCCACCCTGTACAGGGTTTCCGAGGCTGTAAATCTTTACGGGAGCAGAATGCCTCATCTTTCCCTCATGCAACAGCTGGTAGTTTCGAACTGCTGACCTTAAGGTTTGCAGCCCGATTCGTAACCACTACGCTGAGTAGTGCACATTTATTCATTTATTTATTCAGCAAATATTTAGTACATGCTCTATATATCTAGTTATACCCCTGTAGTGTTTTAGTGTTGATTTGAGAGTTGTAGTTGTTAAGCGTCATCGAGTTGGTTCTGATTCATTTCAACCTTATATAGGATTTCTGAGGATTGACTGTGAGTTTGATCTTCTGACTTTGTGGTTAGCAGCCCAGTGCTTACCCTATAGCACCACACCAGGCTAACCATATAAAAAAGATAACATTAGGTCTGTTTTTAAATACCATGAGCCCAGGGTCGGACAAGTGCTAGAAGAAAACATTAGTGAATTTCTGTACAACCTGGGAGTGAGAAAATTTTTCTTGATTTATGATTCAGAATACAAAAGCAATCAAATAAACAAATGATCACTTTAAAATATAAACATAGGAAACTTTCATATGACAAAAAACATGTGAAATGACACAAAAAAGAAATTACAAACTATATTTAAAAAGTATTTAAACATATACAAAGGGCTAGTGTACTTCATTTACAAAGAACTCCTAAAAAATTGACAAGAATTAAACCCAATAATCTAATTGAAAAATGGGCACTAATTCATAAAATAATAAATTTCAGTGTCCCTTAAAGATATGAAAAATATCCAACCAGCAAAGTGCACAATAGTAATTTAATATACTATTATTTGGTTAACAAAGGCAAGTAGAAACATGAATGTACATGCAAACATACACATACACAAGTTTATTTATTTATACAGAATTATAATTATGAAGATAAAGCAGAAGGAAAAACCAAAAACATATAATTATCTATGTAGAGAAGTAGGAGACTGTAATAGAAGGAAGGACTCTGGAATGTTTTCTTTTATATTTTGGCTTTGAGACTCTTGACTTTAATTAATTATATAGAGTTATTTTATGTATTATATATGTTTATATATGTTGATGTTAAGTTCTTTGGAGTTGATTCCGGCTCACAGCGACCCTGTATAGGGTCTGAGGAACAGTGGATGGGTTTGAAAGGTTGACCTTGTGGTTAGCAGTTCAATGCTTATCCAGTACTCCATATTTATGAATATATGTAATACATAAAAATTAGAGAGAGTCCTGATGTGCACTGTAGGGTAAGCACTGGACTGCTAAACTGCAAGGTCAGCAGTTCAAACCCACCAACCATTTCTCAGAAACCATTTACAGGGTCGCTGTGAGTTAGGACCAACTTAGCAGCACTTGACAATAACAAACTCAGTATATACATGTATGGAATCCTGATGCAGCACTGTAGGATAATCACTGGACTGCTGACTACAGGGTCAGTGGTTCAAACCGTCCAGACACTCCCTGAAAATCCTGTACAGTGTTGTTATGAATAGGAACCGACTTAACAATAACAGCAACTACATACAGGGGTAAGTAAAAAATTATCTGCGCTCTGGTTATATAAAAATGCCTATCCATGTCCATGGCTGATAGCACATAGAACGATTTTGCCAAATAGACAAGTGACGGTGGATTGTGTGGCAAGTCATTTGCAAATCAACCATGGCTCTGCCTATGAAATAATCTACAATAGACTTGGGTTTTAAAAAATTTGTACAACTGTTTACAATATAAAAAAATGGAGACAGCCAAAGTGCCCAACAACTGAAGAATGGATAAACAAATTGTGGTATATACACA